CCCCCCCCCCCCCCCCCCCCCCAAAAAAAATAAAAATAAAATAAAATAAAATAAAATCTTACCCATCTCCAAAACAAAAGTTCATGGGTAACTTTTTTATGTGGAATTTTTTTTAATACATATATTAACCCAGCCCAAATTATGATTTAGCCCACCTCAACAAAATATACTAGCTCCGCCCCTGATTCATACTATGATCAATAACAAAAAATATTACCAAGATAGACAGAATAACAATATGTGCACTTTACTGCATTAGAAATGGTTTTCCAAGTGGACGAGCACCATGGAGAATCCTAAATTATAGCTAAGAATGTTAAATGCAAATTCATGTACCAACCTTCCTCCAGGGACCTGATTTTGTTGTCATTGGGACTTGATTTTCAGACTGCAAAAACAAAACTGGACATTAGGGCACTAAGAACAACAAAAGGGAATAAGCTAGACATGGGCATAACCATAAAGGGAGAAAACCTCTTCAAACTTTTCAAAGTTTTGAGTATCCAACTCATCATTAACTTCTGGAATGAATGCAGCTTTCATTTGATACAACTTATCCCATTCATTGCCTTTGAACCACCGGTGAGCCTGGAAAGGTGGTGCAACAGGCAGTTCAAAGTCAGCTTGACATTATGAGTCCTAAAAAGATACCAATAAGACACTTCATAAAGCACCTTAATTTCAGAAGCGCCTCTTGTTCCAAGCCTCTGCTCTACATTACATAAGAGCTTGCAGATAAGATCTTTTGCTTCTGGCGAAATCTTTACCTCTTCCGGAAATTTTAAATGAGTTCTCCAGTTTACTATCTACACCAAAATAATAGTGATGCAATATTATAAGAGTTTTTATTTAATATAGTCTTCAATTTTACGGATTATGTTAGGAAACTTAATCATGTTTTATTTAATAGTTTTTATTAAATATTTGCAACTTAGAATAGAATCTTTTGAAACTCTATATAAAGGGGCTTTTGCTTCATAATAGAACAAAATTTGAATATGAAATAAATAGATCTCTCTCCCCAATTTCAATCTTCCCCTCTCTCTCCTTTCCCCTTCTCCTACAATTCTTCTATTGTATTCTACGTCAATTTGGTATCAGAGCTCAAATTGTTTCCTTTGGCCAAC